AAACCGCCCAAACAGGAAACACTTCTAGTTTTTGGTTCTCCCACGATGATGTGGACTTTATTTCACTGAGTTTAAGAAGGCTGATGTCTGTACAAAACAGTCTTTAATGAATTATTGTGGGTTTTTGAGGGGGCTTGGAGTGCAAAACTTTTATTCTATTTTGAATGATCATCCAAATGTAGACAAAACGGCTTTTTTGTGAAATTGGATCAATTTGCGTTTAGTATGATGGTCATGTGAATTCTTATTGAAATAAAGGAATAGGATCAAGAATAGGAAGTAAGGAAAAGGAAGAAAGGAAGTACATAATAAAAAATATAGTCTTGAAGCTAATAAATAATGCTATAAAATGAAATAAAAGAAAACTATTAAAGTAAAAGAAAAAAAGTAGAAAGAATCTCTGTATTGAAATAAAACTAGAACAAGGATGAAGGGGAAAAAAGAAAAAAACAGTTAAGAAAAATATAAGGTGTTGAAGCTTAAAACTCGATGATTCTGCGCTAGAATGACGGTGAATAAAAAAAAACAGAAATAAAAAAGCCAAGAGAGAATACCAATCTCATTAAACATTTGCTTATAATCAAGCCGCTCTATTCCTGAAGGAGATTTCCCTTCTTTTTCCTTATATTTAATAAGACAAGAGAATTAGTTGAAAATCCAGTCCTGCAAATTTCCCCCCTCAAATGATCAAACAACTCTTATACAGCAAAGGAACGAGTCATTAGGTATAGTTTTTTAATCAATGTGGTTTCTTGAGACATAACATTTGCTGTTTTTATAAATCTTGGTTTTACGGTTTTTCGCGCGGCTATCACTTTCAGCATGGAAGATTACTGTCACTTTTTTTTTCAAAAACAAATGGTGGCAATATTTATGCATTGATGGAAGAATTGCCACTAATTGTCTGATCTTCTACCGCCAAAGGGAGACTAATAATCCCATTTATCCTGTCTGGTGGCCGCAAATGATTCATTACATCAAAATTTTAAAATATTGGCATTGGCATTAATAATTTAGCTTTTCTTTGGTAGTTGTATAGTGACTATTTTTCTAGATTCTGTTCTAAACTAGGATTTCTGATATGTGAATAATACATACATATATATATATATATATTTTTTTTTTTAACAAGATTTTATTGTATTTTAATTGATTGCGTGTATTATAGCATTCATTACCTCGAAGAGAAAGGCAAGAAACTAAATTTTTTTGAAGAAGAGAAAATGATTTAAAAAATTATTAGGCACACGGAAAACGCTAGAAATACTATTTTTAATCTTTCTATGCTATCAAATGTAACACCCTTTCTTGTAGAAGGAAAGTATTTTCAACACTTCAGCTCAGTTTACTGCTATTCATTAATTCAATTTCATACAATTCCCTTTATTTTTAAAATATAGGTAATGAAGAAAATTTTTGATTACAATTGTTCATTTAAATTTTTTTACAAAGCCCTACACAATTGTAAATTTTCCTCCGCCTCATCCAAATCCAAATGTCGTTTAAGTGAACTTGAAAGGCAACTTTGAGTTTTTTTCTTAAATCCAGATAAGTGGGAGACATTTATCAATAATCAATGAATATTATTATTATTATTATCATTATTTATTTTATTTATTAATTTGTTGCAAATATATTTAGATATTGTATATATAGATTTTGATCACATTCTTTGGCTAGGATTCTACGATAATGCATTATTAAAGCTACTGATTGTTAATATTCAAATTAATTAGAAAAAAGAAAAAAGAA